CTGGCGGTCGGCGGGTGGACGGACGTGGGCGCGCCTCCCGGGGCAGGAAGTGGGTGAGGACCCACCTGTACGTCGCGCCCCCAGCTATCAGAAGGGAGACAGCCCCCGCCCCGGGCCCCGCCCCGGGGAGTGTCTCTCAGCGGGGTTCCGGTCCTCTGCCCCGCGCAGGGACTCCCGGGTCCGTGGGCGCTCAGAGTCCGGAGGCTCCCTGGTCACATCCTCGGGCTGCTGGGGGCATTGGCGAAAGCTGGAGACACTTGAGTCGGCGCCGGGAGCCCAGGACACCCAGTCGCTTTGCGCCGCGGTGCCAGCTGCAACCTCGCGCGCCCTCTGTCGGAACCCACGGGGCCTCCGAGAAACCCCGGCCAAATGAATGCGGAGTGGATTGGGGAGTGCAGGTGCTCACACCTGTACGTGATGCCAAGGCGACAGCGGGGGTCGGCACAGCAGCTGTGCGTACGCATGTGTGCACAGATGTGCCCAGGCACGGGTGCTGCTGGCAGTAGGTGAAGGGAGTCCCCCGCCCTTCCTGTCAATGAACCAGCCTCCGTGGGGTCCTCCGTGGGTCAAGGGAGACCCGGAGAAGCGCCCCTCCAGCTGTGAAGGGTCCAGCCCGATGCTGCTCCCACTGGGGTGAGGGGCTTTCCCTCTCCCCCACCCCAGGAGGAAGACTTGAGGCCACTAGAGGGAGTTCCAAGCTGGCCAGAATGGCCCTAGGATGAGACCGAGAGTGATGGGGATAGGGTGTGCTGTGCCCACGACCCTTGAAGCTGGCGGGAGCCTGGAACTGGCCCATCTGCCTGGTCATGACCATCCTCGGGCAGCGGGCCAGCACAGGGAAAGACCCCACCAGTCCACCACTGACCAGAGGAACCAGAGTTTGGACCTATGAGCCCAGTCTGGGGACCACCCCCGGGTCAGCCTGGGCCAGGGGTCCTGACCTCCATTCCCCTGGCTCTGACGGGAAGAGTGGGCAGGGCTGTGAAGCTGACACCCACTCTGCAAACCCTAGGCCTTGTCTCTTCAGTCGAGTTTCCCCAGAGGTAATCGGAGGAAGCCGGGCAGGCTGGCCGCAGAGCGAGGGTTTGCCATGCTCTCTGCTATCTGCCCAAGGGAGCAGGAAGACAGTGCCTGCCCTGAGAGCTCCCAGGTGACAGCATCCCGCCCCCAGACACAATGGCTGCTGGTCACAGATGCAGAGGGTCTGATGCCCCAGCTCTATGCCAGCCCCGGAGCTTCTCTCCCACCTGACAGCACGAGAGAGAAGCTGGTAGCCAGTCCAGCTGGCACAGCCGTGGTCAGGCCCGGGCTCTGCAGGGAGGGGTGAGTGGGTGGCCAGAGCCTGAACGCTTACAGGAGGGGCCTCGTCCAGTGACAGTGGTGGCCACTGTGGGGTCAGGGGCCCCTGGGCTGGGAGGGAGGTGCATGCTCAGGCCACAGCTCCTGGAGCATCCTCCGTCCCTGCCTTTGCCACGGCTGATCCTCATGGCAGGAGGTGAGAAAACAGCATCTCAATGCAACAACCCTGCTCACACTAGTCTGGACTCACATAAGGACCCGAGCTTAGGATTCCCACCCAAGCTCCTGCCTGGCTTCTCCTGGGCACCTTTTAAAATCACCACTCAGAGGTGAGCCCGTGAAGAATTAGTGACGGCCGCCCCAACCCTTAGAAGTAATAGGTGCTGCTACCCTGCTCTGTCTCCTGCTGGCTCATGACCTGGGCCTGAGGGCTGCCCTTCCCCCTGCTCACCCACCCCCGCTTCTGGGGTCCGCCACGTAATAAATCCTGTTGTTTTGTTCCATGAGTTTACTGACACTGCGCCTTCATGAAAATGGGCCCGGGGTTTCCATTTCCCCAGAGAGGGCGCTGGGGCGCTGACATGTGTGGCTCCTCACACCAGCTTGGCGGTTTCCAACACAGGGTGATAGTCATCCCCCCCCGCAACTCCCTGCTGTCCTGGGAGGGCTTGGAAGGATGGGGTCAGGGAAGAGGAAGCACAGAGGCTCCTCCCCTCCCCTGTCCATCAGAGTGCCACGCCAGCCGCCTGCCCCTCCCCCGTATCCTCACACATCCAGCCTCACTTTGGCATCTGCTTCTCAGAGGCTGAACCAACACCGACCCCCCTCCATCCCCTCGTCCACCAACATGCTCCCCCTCCCCAAATAAACCCTCAGGAGAGGACCAGAAACCACAACCAAGAGTAAGTGCTGTAGACTGGCTTTGAGGTCACTCTTCCAAGGACACCCGCACCCAGACCTGCCACTCAGAGGAATGGGCAATGACGCGGGGCGGGGGCGGGGGGGAGACGTGAAAGAAAGTGCGTGGGGCTCCAGGCCCAGGCTCTGCACCTGGGTGACGGAGGAGGGCCGCAGAGCATGCCTGGGGCCGAGTCTAAAAATCAGATATGGTCTTTATTGTGTTGGCAGCAACTGACCAGGAGGAGCAAATGTGGGGTGTCGGGAGTGGCCATATGGGCCACCCTGGAACCATTTTCAGCGCTCCCCTGTCCTCAGACAAAACAGAAGCCAAATGATGCCGCAGCCCCAGACTCCAGCCCAGGGAGGAGCCAAAAGTCACATGGAGCCCAGTGACTGTCAATGCAGTTTGTTGGGAAGAAGCTGGGGCAGGCTGAGAAGCAGGGACAAGGCTCCAGGTGGCAGGCCAGGGCACAGAGGGGCACTGACCCAGGGCCTGGGGTGTGCAGCCCTCAGTTCCCGTGCAGGGCCCGTGGCAGCCCGGCTGGGGAAGGACAGCCCTGCAGTCGTGGACCAGCAGGCAGCTCCCCCCAGGAAGGGGTGAAGGGGGCCGAGTGCTGCCTCTGAGGCTGACCTCAGCTCCAAGGGGGTCTTCCTGGCACCCCTGCACAGGCAAGACTCCCCCCACAGGGCATGACCCGCAGTGAGTGCCTGCAAAGAGCTGCTGAGGGGGTACAGCCACAGCGCGGGCAGGGTCCCAGGAGCCCACTGCTGCCTGGAGGAGGAGGGGTCTGGAGGTAGCCTCACGGTGCGCCAGTCCAGGCCAAGCTCCAGGACGACGGGACCAGCCGCCGGAAGGGGGGCCAGTCAGGAAGGCGTGCTCCAAGACAGACGGGGACAAGTCAACGGAGCTGCTGGCCAGCCAGGAGCCCAGGTCACCTTATTTGCAGTACTCCTTCCTGAAGTCTGGAAGCCAGGGGACAGGTGGTGGCTGCCCTCTGCCCCTGTCGCAGGGGGGATAGTGGGCAGACACCCCCAGCAAGACTGCCCAGGGATTTCTGGGTCACGGAGGTGGCAGGGGACTCCTGCCCGTGGGGTCAGGCTGGAACCTGCTGAGAGTGGGCAGGGCGGGACACAGACCCAGGTCTGAGGGACGGAGGTGGTCCTTCCCAGCTACTCACCTTTGTCCAAGTCAACGCTCTTGGCGGGCGGAGAGCTGTGAGCCAGCCCGGCCCTCTCCTTCAGGATGTTGTTTTTGTAATCTGGGGCATGGGGAGAGCAGAGTGAGGCCCCCCAGAGATGGGCCTCCCCCAGCCAGGGCCTCGCAGCCTCGCTCCCTGCCTTGGGGTCCTCGGGCCCCTTACCTAATTGGATGTCTTCACTCCTGTAAAAAGCTTGGTCCCCTGTGACCACAGCAAACTCTGCCACGTTCACGTCCTTCCTGGAGTTGGGTGGGTGGAGGTTAGGGCAGCTGGGCAGGGCCTGGCCCCCTAGGACAGCCAGGAGGGGGCACTCACCCTTTTGACTTCCACGATTTCTTGTCCGAGTATTCGTAGCCTGCGGAGGGAGACTGGCGTTGAAGGCTGGCTCGCCTCCTGCCCCGCGCCCTGCCCTGAGAAACCCTCCCCAGCGAGCACCTGCGCAGGCGCAGCGAGCCGAGCCCCGCCCCTGCCCCGCTCACCTCCGCGTCGGCGCTGACGCGTGGCCAGGACGACGGTGATGAGCAGCAGGATGAAGAGCAGCAGAGTGGCCAGCACGTAGCCCAGCTGCTGGAAGAAGTGGGCCCGGCCCTCGGGGACGATGACGTTGATGACGCTGCGGCCGCGCGCCAGAGTAGGGTCTGCGGGGGCCATGTGGGTGCGGTGTCAGGGGGCGTGCAGCGTGGCCCAGCAAGGCCAGCCCTGCTGCACTGCGTGGGGCGGGGAGGGTCGGGCCGCCCTTCTAACGCCTGTGCCCCTTCGGTGGGACAGGGAGGGACCGGGCTGGTGCCCGCTAGACGTGCCTCGCTCGTCCCAGCCCTGAACGTTCCCGGACGCCCGGGGCGGCCTTCTGCACCTGGGGC